AAGGGGCTCACCGTTCTCGGCACGCCTTTCGGCAGCGATGCCTACGTCCAAGGGCGCTTGGCCCTCAAGCGCGAAGAGCAAGACCGCCTCCTGCAGCGCACTGCCGGTCATCCAGGCCCGAGTCCCCTCAGCTGCGGAGCGCCTGCTCGCAGGGCTACGCCGGGCCGTCATGGGACGAGGCCATGTCAAATGTGCCAGGCCCGCAATCCCAACACGACGAGCCTACAGACTTCCTGCGCGGATGGCAGCGCAGAGCTTCCCACGCCTGCGATGAGCGCGCGCTCGAGACGCACCTTGTTGATTTGTCCCCTGCGTCCCGGGCGCTGCTGCTCTCTCAAGCTGGTCATCACGCGGCCCGAGCCTTCACGGTATTGCCCACGTCGGATGATGTTGCAATACCCGACTCACACTTCCGCGTCCTGCTCTTGCGCCGCTTATGCTTGCCCCTCCCGCTTGGCCCGCGCAGCTGCTCCTGCCGCGGCGTGCTTGATGTGTACGGAGACCATCGAGCTGCATGCTCCACATCAGGCGTGCTCGCCTCCCGCGCACTACCCCTCGAACGGGCCATCGCCCGCGTCTGCCAGGAAGCCGGGGCGCGTGTCGGGCGCAACGTCGCGCTGGCCGCCACATCGATGTGCCACTCCACGACGCGAGGCGCATCGAGGTCGTCTGCAACGGCCTGCCGCTTTGGCATGGCGCGCAGCTGGCCGTTGACGCGACGCTCGTCAGCCCGGTGACCCGAGATGGCCGCCCGCATGACGGCGCTGAACACCACCCGGGTTGGGCCGTCCGCGGTGCTGCGCGGCGCAAATGCAGGCAGACGTACCCCGAGATCGACCGCAGCCGACGCTGTCGCCTGGTCGTTTTCGGACTCGAGGTGGGCGGACGCTGGGCTGACGAAGCTGCCACCTTTATTCGCCTCCTCGCCCGGGCGCGGGCCGCAGGTGCCCCCGCCGCTCTGCGCAATGCCGCCCAAACCGCATGGGTTCTCCGCTGGAGTGGACTCATCTCCGTTGCGGCGCAGCGTGCACTCGCTGCCACTTTCTTTGAGCTTCCCCTTCAGTCTGAGCTTGGTGCTGCTGGCCCGCCACCGGCTGTGCACGAGCTCCTTGCTGACTCTCGCTGGCAGGAGGCTCCTGAGCCCAGCCGCCTCCCTGCCCGTGCGTGAGTCGCCAGTTACCGCCGTAGGCTGCAGATGGCACAGGGACCTGGACCTCTTTCACGTGCAGTAAAAAAAAAAACAAGAAATGAAAGCATAGGAATTCGCCCTTCCGGTGGTCACTGGAACGATCCCCCAACTTGTAGTCGACAATTCCACATTAGATTGCCATGGCATTAAGTTGCACGGTCCTCATCCCAGCACTTGCACTTTGCCCGTTCGAGACAAAGACTACGGTCCTGAAAGGACATGGGTGGCAGGTAGGATCGAATTACGGTGCATCATCTTTGCCAAAATGCAAGAAGGCGCGGGAAAAAAGTTGGCTTAGCGGCTAGCTACACCAAATGGCGTGTTAAGGTACGACAAGCGGCAAAAAGCACGCCAACCCCAAGTGCACGCCGGTTTTCAAAAGGCACGCCAGTTGACAAAAGGCACGACAATGTATGCTAAACACCATCCACACATGCGTCACACATCAAATGTATGGAAAGGGCTTATATTCGCGCGTAGCATGATGTGCCTGTGGATTTTTTGGTCATTGACGGACAACCCCCGCGGGTAAAGCTGTCTTGTGTATATGAAACGATGCTTAAACCCAATGTCAAGTACATGCAACTGGCAGCGGGGCCGACAGCACTAAGGATGGTATTGGTTGGCATCTGTTCGCGCTTGCTCATAACATGCAAAAGGCTAGGGCCATGATGATTCGAAACTCAAGATATTGTGTCGTCAGGACGACAAATACCATGTGCACACGCTTACAATATGCAACTTGTGCTAACCACAGAGCAGTGTTGGACACGACCGTATACTCGGTGGGCGACGATGTGTGGCGCAGCGAGAAGCAATCGTTTGAACGATCTTCCTCATTCTTGGCTCGCCCGTCGCCGTCGGCTTTGTCTCCGCGAGGACAGCTCTGTTCAGGCCTGTCACCAATGTCCGCGAGGAGCCTGGACCAGCACGCTAGCCAGGCAATGATCGCAGGACGCGGCCGCCTGTGGACGGCAGCGGTATGGTGCCGCGCCAGCAGGTGCAGGAACTACACAACTTCGGTGCTAAACCTGCCGCCAACTTCAGTGCCAATGGGCGGGCATGGCCGAGCTCCGGGCACGCGTTGTTGCGTTTTGCGCCGTCCCACCACATTGGTTTGGGCTTGGCCTTGTCGTGTGAGGAAAACAAAGAAGCAGCATCAATTGCTCAGTTGTTGAGATTGCCCACCGGGTCAACGTCGCTTGGGTCAGTTCAACCAGTTCAGATATAAATCGGTACGTTGTAAAAGAAAATCGCCTCCAATTGTTCAATGCAGTCATCACACCGACGGTCTTGTTTGGTTTTGGCAGCCCCCCTTTACCAAAAGGCAGTTGGAAAAAATAGAAACGCTGCAAAAAATGTTGAAATCCATCGTCGGTTGGTGTCGTGTGGAGGGTGAGGCTTGGTCTGACACCATGCGGCATATGAAGTCTGGGCTCCATCGTGCACAGCGGCGATCAGCTCCCAGCTGCTGCAGTACGGACCTTGCGCTCGGCAACCGCCGACCGCCATGCCGCGTACTGGGCTTCTTGGTGCGACGCACTGCCAGCAATCCGAGCTCGCTCTCCGCAGATCGCGGACAACCTCCTGCAGGCGCTCGCCGCACCCATGCCAGTGGCTCACCTGCCGTCGCAGCCGCGCAAGCCACCGACCACTTCACCGCTCAGACACAGGGCCCCGCCGAGAGGCGTCGCTCCGTAGATGACGAGGTCCAGGCGGCGCCGGTCATCGGAGCGGACGTTGGGTGCTGTCGTGTACGCGAGCCACTGTTGGGGGACCACCTGCCCATCTGGACCGACGGCCTCCCGAGCTACGCGCACCCACGCGCGTTCCAAGATCTTCGCCCTGCGCGCTATCAGACCGGTGCGAGTGCATGCGAGGGCGTGGTCGCCAAAAGCGTCCACTTCTCCTCCGCATCCGGGTGGGCCACAACGGCTGGCACACAGGGGCAGCGGGAGACGCAGGCGGCGGCGCAGTGCCAGGAGCATTGCTTGGGGCGGAAGCACGCAGGCCGGCTCACAGGGTATTGCGGTCAACCAGGCACCGGCCTGTGGGCCTGCTTGCGACCGGAGGAGGGCGCATGCGGACGGCGACAGGGAGGGCAGGAGCGTGCGTTCGCGAAAGTAAAGGTTGCGAATACGCGATGCACAGCACTGCCATCCATGTGGCCAGTCACCCAGGCCCTGATCAGTCGTACGCGGTGGACGGGCGCCCGCCCCGATCGCTTCCCAAGAAGGGCACTCGTGCCAACCTTCCGCCTGAAGGAGCTCTCGTGCCTCAACTGCGCTCTTGAGGCTCGCCCTCCGCCTGCAGCGAGCAACCGCGTGCAGGCATCTGCGAAGGCTGGGGATCGCTTGCGGAGCTCCGGCAACGCGTCGGCCCATGCAGCCCAATATGCGGCCGGCGCTGTGCGAACAGCAGAGCTGAAGCCCAAACCTCCGAGGGCTGCCGGCAAGGTTGACATGTTCTGCGTGTGTGTAACGTCTGCTGTGGCCACGCCGCCGAGGCACAGCTCCAACGTCTCCCACAGCGCTGCGTCATGTGCCTGCGCATAAGGCTCTACGGCCTGCGGGGGCACGGTGCGCAGCGCGTGGTTGGCTCGCGGCGAGGCGCACATTGCCAGGAGAAGCCATGCGCACTGCAGATCGGGGAGTTGCGGGAGCTGGTGCAGCTCTCTCTCCGTCTGGGGCCGCTGTGCTGCCCACGCTGCGACGAACTGCGGGTGGCCAACCGGGGTGCCCAGCACAACAAGCCCACGCTCTGCCAGTGGCTTGTCCCCGCGCCACACATCGGCCCCCAGCTCATCGACTCCGGGAGGAGGCGGACCGCCGGCATAGCTGTACACACGCGTCTTCCCCTCCTTTGAAGCTATGCCGCATTCCGTCTCGACGACTCCGACTACTACATCGCGGGCGGCACGTGCTCGCTCGCGTGTAGTCAGGACGTACAGGCTGCCTTGAGCAGGGCACCATGCTGTCCCAATGCGAAAAGGGCCGGGGCCAGTGGATCACCTTGCTCGCAGCCTTCGCCTTGAGCGATGTTGCGGCAATTGCCCTCGCTGTCCCACCAGCAAAAAGTTGATGGCTGTCCATAAAAAAGGCGCACGAAGGGGACCAATTCTGGTGCAGCGGAGTGGAGAGCGGTGAGGAAGGATGCGCGAGACATGGTGTCGTAGGCGCTGCGGCCATCAAGCGACACGAGAACTGCGTCCTCCCGCATTTCGAGGGCGGTGCGCACGTGCGCTGCCAAAGCATCGGTGCCAGCTCTCGCCTGCAGCGCGTATTGGAACGGTCGAGTTGCCTCATCGAACACATGTGCCCACGTTTTGGCGAGGGCGCGCGAAACAAGGCGGTGGAAGACGTCGCCTGTTGCGATGCCACGCACACCACCACCCGGTTTGCGTAAAGCTGTAAGGCGCGCTAAAGCGAGTCCCGACACGATGTCTGCCGGCACATCCGCATTCGCCAGTTCGGTCGCGGCACACGCGAGGAGCTCCAACGCTGGCACGTCTGCGAGCAGAATTTTGAGGTGCTCTGCACGCATGCCTGAAAGTCCCGCTGCGCCTCCGCGCCGTGCGTCGCGCAAAGCAGCCGCGACTGCAGCAGGTCCGAGCTGGACGCGACGGGCCGTGCGCTGCTCCAGGACGGCTTGCGGGATGGGCTTGCGCTGTTCTCGTGGACGGCGGGCAGGGTCCGTCAATGCACGCCAGGTGTCCTCGCTACCGGGCGCGAGCTCTGCCGCAGTTAGGAGCTGGCGAGCTCTGGAAAGTTCGCCCGCCTTCACTTTCGTGCAGGCTTGTTCCCGCTTGCGCTCAGCGAGGGTCTCGGCATCCGCACTCTGCGCGCCCGATTTGCGGAAGCTGGAAGCGGCTCGCCGTGCCTCCCCCAAAAGCCGCGCCCAATCACCCTGTTGGAAGGCTTTGGCGCGCGCAAGCAATTCCTGGCGCCCCTGGGCCCCACGCTGCGTCGTGCGAGCGGGGAACATACGGGGAGCAAGGAGGAACAACTTCCACGCGCGCGAAGCAGGGGTAGCGTCCGCAGTGGGTGGCCTGCTGGTGGAGTCACGTATGCGGCTCAGTGCAGTGACCAACGCCGTCCGAATCGCTGGTCGCATGAAAGGCGGTACGTCTTGCAACGTGGGCACGGGACATCGCAACTCCGCCACCAAGTCAACTGCATCAACCGTGGCCCAGGCTGTTTCGGGAACACTTGCCGAAGCGTGCATGGTGTCCGGGGCCTCGGCATTCGCGGGGCACACGGGCACTCCACCCTCGCCTTCTTCGCTTGGCGGGGGTGCCGAGTTGTCGCTAAGCGCGTTGCGGCGGCGTGCTCGTCGGCGACCCCGTCGGAGCGGAGGCGAACGCCTTGCTTGGTCCGCTGCTATGGGCGCGGCGCGCACGTCGTCGGCCAGAGCCCGCGCGGCTGCCGCAGCCGCCGCACCAGCGTAAGACTCGAGCAAGGCATGGGCGCATCGGGCAACCGGGCCAGCGCCGCTGCCGTAGCCTCATCCTCCGCGCATATGCTCCGCCGGGCATCGTGCGCTTCGCAATCCGCCACGGCGAGCAAGGACCGAGCTAGTTCACCTGGCACGGCTGGCGGCCCTCTGTAGCTTTGCTGCCAGCTCCTCGAACCGGGATCCGAGAACCGGAGGTGTTCGCCAGGCATGCCAGGCACTCGCGCTCAAGTTACCGGCCCCCGCGTGCAACCAAGGGATATACAGCCAGGAATTGCGCTCGCCGGGCGCTGAGCTCGGCGGGCGAGCATCCTGCCATGGTAGTGGCGCGACGCCGCTGGTAGGAGGCACGACCTGCCGAGCATCGTAGCCGGTGCATGCTCCGCCCTCATCCGTCACCGGCGGTGTTGATGGCGGCGTGAAGCCCGGTGTCGCCTCTCCTGCTGCGTCTGGTGCCATCGCGCCCGTGAGCGCATCTGGAGCCTCTCCACGGGGTGATCGTGCTCAACAAGTCCGACAGGGTCTCGGCAGCATCGAGGTCCGCTTGGCGGTCGCGCAGTGCGGCCGGGCGGGTACTGGGGAGCAACTGCATTTGGGCAAGTGCATGCATGGCTCGTTCTCGGCGTTGCGCAACGGCAGTGCCGCATGGCGGGCCCGGGTGGGCAGCTTCCCCAACTCGCCTGCCATGGCAGGGGTGAGGCGTCAGCTTTGTGGACGCTGGTGCCGCCCGCCGCACCATCGGCGACCGCATCGTCGGCGAGAAGGTGAGCCAGCAAAGGGGCCGACGTGCGACCTGATGCCTGCGAGAGTTCGTCCAACGCCGTGTCGCCGCCTTGCAGTATGTACTGCAACACCTCGTGCCGGTGCGGGTCCTGGGTGCGGGCCGCGAGCTCGCACATCAGGGCCTCCCAGTTTGACGGGGTGTGTGGCGATGGGCGACCGCCCGCTAGCGCGACGACCGCACTCACAGCTCGCCGGGAAAGAAGGCCGATGAGCACGCCCACGACAAGCCAACCCCACCCGAGAGCAAGAGGCCCAAAGCCCGGGGTGAAGTACCGGGGCGTCGCTCCGCTGCAAGTAAGGGCTGCGTGAGCCATGCTTTCCCTGCACGTCGGCGGCAAGGACGCGGCCCACCAGACAGCCGACGAAGCCGCCGAGTAAGCACCGGCGCATGCCGACAACAGCTGTCCGATCACGGCTGCCGACATGGCATGAGGCTACTGCCCACCAATCCTTGAAAATCGTCTTGAGCCTTGAGCCAAAATGGCTACGGTTGTCGTGCAGCACGTCCCCAAGCGCAGGGAACTGGGAACCAGGCATGGCTCCATGGATATAAAGCATGCCAAGCAGCGTTGCAGCAAGGCTACTTTGCCTAGCAACGATTAGCAACGCTTAGCAGGCACCACCAGCGGTGCAACCAGCCCGGGCTAGCGGCGCTGCGCAGGGCGGCAGGAGCGCGCTGGGCTCGAAGCCGCACGAGTTGCGCGACGAGGCGGAGCGGCTCGGTGCTCCAGCGCCCACCAGCCTCGCGTGCGAGGATGCAGAGGCGCTGGGGCCCCGATGTGCGCGCAAGCCATTGTTGCCGGACGACAGCAACGGGCACCCAGGCGTGCTCAAGCGGCTTAGCTCGGTGAGCGAGCGGACCATTGCGGGGGCGGGCGGCATGGTGGTCTCCATACGCAACAGCAACTGCTCCGCAGCCGTGGCCGTGTTCGCCACATCTATGTGGGGCGACGGGCAGAGGCAGCCGCAGCCACCGCCGCAAAGCGGTGAGCATGCGGTCGGGCGCAAGAGCGGTGCCAGCCTCGCACGGGGTGGCGCTGAGCCAGGCTGCGGCGTGCGGCCCCGACAGCGAGCGGAGCTCGTGGGCAGGGGCTGACAAAGCGGGCAGCAACTCGGTTTCGCGGAAATGGGTAGAGCAAGGTCAAGGAAGGCCGCTAAATGCTCACCGTAGTGACGAGGGAAACGTCGTCAAGGAAGGCCGCTAAACGCTCACCGAGGTGCAGCTGCGCGTCGGCGGCAGCGAGGGCATAGTGCTGGCCAAGCGCATACAGCGCGGGGGGCCAGAGCACCCCCCTGTTCGCAGCCTTCACCCTAACGGATGGTGCGGCGCTGGCCTGTAGCGTCCCACCAGAAGTAAGTGGACTGCTGCCCGTACCACAGGCGCAAAGGGCACGAGTGCAGGCACGACGGCGTTCAGCTTCCGCAGGAACGGCACGCGAGATCGTATCGTAGGCGCTGCGGCCGTCGAGTGATACGATGGTTGCCGCAGAGTCAAAATCGACAGCGGCCCCGAGCATGCCCGAAAGTGCGGCGGTGCCCGCACGGGTTTGAACCGCGAACTGGTACGGACGGATACGGACGGGTGGCTTCATTAACAGATTGAGCGAACATCCGTGCGAGACCGCGCGACACAACACGCCGGAAAGTGTCACCCGTGGCGATACCTCGCACGCCGCCAGCGGGCTAGCGGAGCATTAGTAATTTTGCACCAGGAAAGGATCAAAGATCCACCGCGGCAACTCCGCATCACCAAACTGAGGCACATGTTGTAAGCTTAGCGTTCCAACCAGGTGTCGCGCTGAATGTCAAACAGCGGGGACCCACGAAGGGCATGCAGCGACGTGCTACTAAGAACGCCGCAAAGGCACTCGGGACTGTGGCGCTGAGCGTGCCGGGCAATTCCGCCATCTTGGTTGAACGGATAATGACAACAACTGGCACCGCTCTGCCGCCCGACCGCATGCTCATAGTCTTGCGGCCACACAGATGCGGCGAACATGGCCATGCACGGCTCCCGGTCGCGCAACTCGTGCGGCTTCGCGCCCAACGCGCCCCTGCTGCCCTGCGCGGTGCCGCTACCCAGGGCTGGCTGCGCCGCTGGTGGTGCCTGCTCAGTGTTGCTTTGCTAAGCACACTTGCTGCAACGCTGCTCGGTGCGCCGTACATCGTTGGAGCCATGCCTGGCTCTCAGCTCCCCGCACTCGGTGACTTTTTGTACGACGCAGCCCCCCACCCCCAGCGGCCTGCCGTAGTTTGCAGCGTGCACGGGGACCGGACCCTTTTGCGCAGTCGTAAAAGATCCGTTGGGGAAAAGAATAAAAGATGTTGTTGCCACAGTGCAAACGAGGCTGAAACACGGCATAGTTGTCAAAGGAGGGCATTGCCATCAATTCCCCACGATATTGTGTGACAGCACGCTGCAACAACACCGGTCGCACGGCATGTCGACTCCAATGCGTTACCTGCATCCCAGGGAGACGATTACCCAACAAAAACAGATGTGACAAGCAAATCTCCAATGTTGTTTCCGCACCTTTGGACAGGTCAGGTCAGGTCAAAGCCTCGTGTTGAGACACATGGGCATGAAAAGCCACTCAACCGTTTCGCTGATGTGGCATATGTGTGAAATTATGCGTGAGCACTTTGTGCCGCCAAACTGTTGGAGCTTGGTTCCATAAGGTCTCTAAACTAAGCCGATCGCCGCATATATCCAGAGCCATGCGAAAAAAAAAACTTCTGAAAGCCATGTTTGTTTGGGTCTACCCCGCTTCCGAAGTCCATCATGCCATCGCGGCTGAAACGTCCCATCATGGAAAATACATGTTCGCATGACATCCTCCCGTGGAAGTTGCGCGATGCGCCCCAAAGTAGCAGCTGTCGGCGCCAAAGAATGATTGAAAGTTTCTCAGTGCCAGCTTCTTGTAACACAGTGTCGTTGCGCACGCGGCTGATGAATGAGTGTGGTATGCCAAGGATGGAACGAAGGCAACGGGCTTGAAAGGCATCAATTTTGCGCAAGTCAGCTTTGCAAAGCCAAGCTGTATGAAGGGAATACATCAAGCGGGAAACCACACAAGCCGACAAGATTTGTAGCTTCTTTGCGCATGTCAGATGAGCATGCTTCCAAACGCGGTTCAATGCATCGAAATCTGCCTTGGCCAACCCAAGCCGACGGTTCACCTCTGAAGTGATGGAGCCGGACGCGGAAATCACACTGCCAAGGTAGACCAATGACGTTTTGTTCTTGATGGGTTCGCCGTTCGGCCCTTGGATGTCAGCATCACGAGCTATCGGCAAAGCTTCGGTCTTTTCCCAATTCAACGATAAGCCATATACTCTCCCAGCATCCAAAACTCGATACAAGAAGGATTCAGCTTGTCGTGGTTGCAGGCTCAAAATCAGAGTGTCGTCCGCATAGATCAAGTCATTGACGAGCACTGGTGGAGAATTTTTTTTTTTTACGCGCCTTTTTCCGTCAGCAGGAAGGTCCCGCTCCTATTGGAGTACGGTCACGGTCCCGAGTTAGGGCCGGTTCAGCGCAGCGGCAGGCGGCTCGGCCCGTCTGGGTCGGCCAGGTGGAGGACTTCATCCAAGGCCGGCGCATCGGTGTGTGCCGGTCCCGGCATGGCCCGGGCGCGCCCTAACGCCGTGTGACCAACGGCCTGCTGAACCGCTACGGAGAGCACGCTCCACCAACGGCGGGCCCAGGCTGTCTTTGCGGAGGCTCGCAACGCAGGCGGGGCTCGGTACGCACGGAGTGCGACGAGGCGTTGGACCAGCTTCACTGCGTCAGCGTTCCACCGCCCACCCATTTCGCAGCCGAGCACGCAGAGGGCTTGCGCGCCACCTGCCGCGAGCTCGGGGTAGGTGGCTTGTTTGCGCCGGTAGGCGGTGCGCAGAACCGCTCCATCCTGTGCGGCCGCGCCTGGGTGGGGTTCGCCGTCGCGCGTGAGAGGCGAAATCGCAGCAGAGCGCACCACCCAGTGGCGCGGCGCCGTAGATGACGAGGTCGAGGCGCCTGCGGTCGTCGGGCGCGACGCCCAGCGCAGTGGTGTTGACGAGCCATTGTTGGGGCACCACGTGTCCCTCAGGCCCCACGGCTTCCCGCGCAACCTTGCACCAGGCCCGCTCAACAAGTTTGGCTCGCCTCGCCAGGAGGCCAGTACGAGGGCACGCGAGTGCATGGTCTCCAAGGGCATCTGCACGGTGGCCGCACCCAGGTTCCGAGGCGCTCCCGCAACGGCCAGGCGCGAGCGGGAGTGGAAGCCGGAGCCTGCGACGCAAAGCGATCTGCATGGCCTCGGGCGTGAGCGACGTGTGGGAATCGCTGGGGATTGCTTGCAGCCATGCACCGGCATGCGGACCGGCCTGGGAACGCAAGAGGGCGCGGTGAGGAGGTGGCAAAGAAGGCAGCAGCACGTGGTCGCGCCTGAGACGGATTGGAACTCCCGGGTGGCATCCGTACATAATACCTGTTGGTCACAGCTCAAGCAATGCACAGCTACACACAGCTTCGACGGAGCAAATGTTTTCACCCGGTCACTTGAGCCAAGGCATTGCCAAGGCAAGTCTGCAAAAGTCATGTCTGATGCAATCACTCTAGAGTGACTCTGCGTGACATGCGAGGCACGTTCAGTGAGCAAGTACTTAAACTGCTCACACAACGCCCCCATGCCGAGCATGGCATCGCGGGAAAATGGCATCAAAGTGCACAGACTTGTGTGCTGACTGCAGAGACTGCCAAAGTCTGCAAGCAGAAAATGGAATCAGAGTGCACAGACTTGTGTACTGACTGCCGAGAGTGCCAAAATCTGCAAGCATTGTAGGCTGTACAGTAAGTAGTGCAGATGGCATGCGGCTGGTACGTTGGTTACTGCTCAGAACTGGTTTCGCAGAGCGAGTCAGCAGCCAAGAAAACTTGCAAGGTTCGTACAACTGGAAATCAAAAAATCAGCCATGAAATCAAGAATCAACCGTGAAATCATGCGGAAAATCAAGCAATACATGCGCATGATCATGAAAATTCAATCAACGGTCAATCACTCGTTCAAAGTCATGCTCAACCATGCGGGTGAACTCCCAAGAGCCGTGAAAAATGCTGGAACTTGTTCTTCTCCAGTGCTTTCGTCATGACATCAGCAAGGTTATCGTCGGTGCTGGTTTTGTTGATGTTGTTGTCGGGATCCATGCTCACATCATGCAACCATGACAAAGGCACACCTTGCGTTCGCTTCATGTACTTGAGGACGCCGTATGCGTCATCGATTGCTGCAATTCCTGTTGCTGAATCGGTCATGATGTCTAATGGAACTCGGTATCCCAGCAAAAACTCGAAAAGATCTTGTGCATAAATCCCATGGCGCTTGAGACCTTCAGCCATGGCCGTCACTTCAGCATCTGGTGCCGACAATGCGGTAGCTCTTTG